CATTTCTTTTACGATGTAGTATAATCTCACGGTCAAAAGCACAGATGCTAGAGTTACCTCTCCAGGTTTGAGTCCCGGATCTGTCACTGACTAGCTTTGTGACCTTGAGAAACTTATGCGTCTTTTTTGTGCCTGTTTTCTCATCTGCAAAGTGAGCATCCCGCGATGGCACCACCCTCAGAGTGTTGTTACGCGGATCGAGTAAGAATGTGCCTGCCGCGTGCAGGACAGTGTATAAGTCTCAGCTACAGTCAGGTCTTCCTGCATGTCCTGTTCTGGCTCCCAGCACCCTGGTTTTAACCAGCCACCCAAACTGGAGATGCGAGGTTGGTCCTGTCTCCTCCACATCCTTTCATGCCACATCACGGGATCAGGAAGACCTGTCAATTGTCCGTCCTCTCTCTCTTTCTTCTCCATTTCCACTGTGACTGCCTTGGACTTAACCTTTATTATCTCCTCCTTCAATGACTTAAGCTGGTTAGTGACTCGTTTGTCTTATATTTTCCCCTTTTTTGTGATGTTCTCCATCTAGCCCCCTAGAGATTTTTCTAAAATGTAAATCTGATCACTTAAAACCCTTCAGTGCCTTCTTGTTCTCACAGAAACAAAACAAAACAAAACAGGACAAAACCCAAGCGAAGTCCTCACGATCACCCCGACTCCTCTCCATTCACCTCACCCTGCGCCCTCTGCGGTTGTCAGTTCCTTCAGGCTCTGCATCTCGTTGGCCCGCCACGTCTTCGCACACCCCGCGCCTGTGGGGTGCCTCCTACCTGTAACCCGCTCATGCAGCCTCTCTCGCCGCTCATCCCCAAGCAGAAGAGCTTTCTCCACGCTCTGTGTCGCTATTTCAGGAGTTTGGCCCATGTACCTGTCATGTTCACCCTAATCATTTGCATGCTATTCTCCTCCAAGACAAAGCTTATTTATCTCTGAATGACTCAGCCACACGAATTAACTTCTTTGAGAGAATGATTTATCTCTCTTGTGTTTAGTCAAGGGCAGATGTTAAACATTTATTGAACAGATCATCTGGTTAATGATTAGTTATATCTATATTGAAGAAAAGCATCTTTGTAGTTACTTTATTGGTGGTAAGGGGGAAATTCCTCTTAGCTTTGTTGCTACAGCAAGTGAGCTTCCATGTTGTAGGCTTCCAAAGGTCAGTCATTCCCTAGTGGAGCAATAATATTTCTTGGTAACTAAGTTTCTGGAAGCGCCAGTAAGATATACCAGCAAGACAGTTCTTAGACCAAAGCATGGGAATTGTTCTCTACGTTTCACGCAGGAGAAAGGAAACCATGAAGGAACATTGACACTGCCTAAAGACCAGCTGCTTAGACTGTGCAAATGGCCCCAGCCAGGTAGCTCAGTTGGTTAGAGCAGCGTCCCAATACGCCAAGGTTGGGGGTTCAATACCTGGTCAGGGCACTTATAAGAAGCAGCAAATGAATGCATAAGTGGGACTATAAATGGACATTTCTCTCTCTTTCTTTTACTCTCTTCTCCTCTCTCTCTCTCTCTCAAAATTAAAAAAAAAAAAAAAAGACTGTGCAGAAGAGTGCTATTTTTGAGGTGGACAGAGAGAGGAGAACAGTGCTGAGTTGTAGCCACCCCGTGGCACAGAGAGACAAGCATGCACCCTGCCTTAGCCTCTGTGCGCCTACTTGTTAACCGGGCATTTAGGCAACAGACCAGACCTTGTTAACGATCAGCCTTCAGGGTACTGTTCTCACGCTTTACCTGAAAGGTCCTCCTTGGAGGAGAATGGCATGCACATTTTCTTTTTGTATATATGGATTAGACAATAAACAACAAAAAAAATATGTGTAGTTTAAATCCCAAGTAACACTAAAGACACAGTCATGGTTTTTCTGCAGTAATTCAGCAAAGTCATTTTCCCGTGAGATGTACTTGCGGGAGAAAACCAACCACCTTTACGTAGAAAACAGGGCGATTCCGACGGGCAGTGGGTCTCAGTGGCGACTGAATTATTCGTGACCTTTCCTGTCGGGGCCTGGACTCCCTGTGGACGGGCAGGAATGGGGCAGAGCCCTCCACGCCAGGGCCGCAGGCCAGCACCACAGGGACAGCTCAGTGGGGTCTGCAGCCCCTCACCTCCAGTTCCGTTCAGGAGATGGTAGAATGTCGTGTGTAGAGACTTCCTGTTTGTAGATAAGAGCATGCTGCGCTGTCAGGGAAAACGTAACTCTGGCTACTACAGCAGTATAGTAACAGCACTACTTTTTTCCCTATGATACGTGGGTTTTTAAAAGTTGCCATATGTCGAATTTCCTTTGATTCACAGGATTATCTCCATTGAGTAGCAAAAGAAAGGAGGCTTAGAGAGAATTCTGCCCATTCAGGGCTGGGCCAGGAGTCCCTGCCGGCTCCCTGTGCGGGGCTGGAGGGCTCACCCTCTGCTCTCACAGCCGGACTGGGACTGTGTGGGCGTGGGCATGGGCGTGGGCGTGGGCGTGGGCGTGGGCGTGGGCGTGGGCGAGGGCGTGGGGTCACCTTGCAGGCGATCGGGCCTCCGGCATCTCTCCAGGGTGCCGGCCGAGCCCCTACCTCTCAGCAGGAGGGGTTCTCTCTAGTGCGTTGTGTTGCCCCTGGGATAGTCCTGTGAGGTCGGGGTTGGGGTGGGGGAGACTTCCACCCCTGGATTTGGTTGCCCACCTCGTCACTTTGGGAGGGAGATCCAAGGAGGTGGGAAGTGTGGGTTAGTGAGAAGGGGTGAGGATATCTGAATCTGTTATTCCTCTTACTGCAAAATCCTGTTTGCTTAATAAAAAAGTGAAGAATTAGATGTATCTGTGGGCTTTCTTTTCAGTAAACACCTGATAGTTATTTGCTGTTGAAAATGTTGGTTACATTCTGTTTTGCTTTAATGATGTTCAAAGGGATTATAAATATATGGCCACAAGCACAGGAAGAAAGATCCTAGCACAAAGGTATTAAATAACTAAACCTTTCCCCCTGCCTTCCTTCCTTTCCTCCCTCCTGCCTTCCCTTCCTTCTTTTCTTCCTCTCTACACTCCTTTTTTAAAAGAAAATATTTGATCGACTCATTAAATGGCATTAAATCCATGTTTCTTGTTGGCATCCTCACATCCTGAAACCTCATACGTGGTCCTAATCGCTCAGACAGATGCCCCCAGCTGTTTGTTCTGGAGTTTTCTTCTCTTTTTCCTGTATCCATTTGATTATCAAATTAACTTCTTCCATTTTGATTCTAGGCACAGAATAGATGCTCTGTTCCTTTTGATTGAATTTAAAATGATTATTGAAACCATCCAATCTAGCAAATATTCTAATGTGGTTCTTGGAGAACAATAAAAGAGTGTTAAGTCATATACCGTCAGGTATTTTAGAAAGGAAAGTACCAGTTCCTCCTTCCTGAGCTCCGGGTCGTTCACTGCCCTCTTCGTTAATGGTTTTCCACGTGCAGGTCTTTGATTCCTGTGCGGCTTCAGGTGCCTGCCACCTACTCAGTGCGGGGCCCACAGCCTCGCCCTAACTTCATAGTTCCTCAGTGATTTTTATTTTGATGATTAAATGATCTTTATTTCAGGTGGCATTGTTTTGTGAGCAAAGACAGCCTGTAGCTTCACTGTTCTCAACTTAGTCACAGAGAGCAACATTCTTAGCCTTTGGCCAAGTGAAGGAGCCGCATCGCTAACTCTGTATGGTTTCCTCTGTCAGAGTTGACATGGACACTTGCAAAAGGACGTGCCGTCGGGAAATGTTGCCTCATTTTCTCTGTGACCCTCCATTCTAAGTGTCTATGCAGCTTGAGGGGTTGTGCAGGTTTTACCTATTTCGCCAGCAGCTGTTCATTGGATTCCATCTTGGGGAAGCTCTCTGTTCTGCCACTTTCATACCAAACTCGCAGCGTGGCCCAGGCGAGTCACCCACTGAGTTGTTGAGCAGCACATCCCGCCTGACTTGAGGCCCAAGCTTCTCAAACCGAGGGATTGTCTACCACAACACCCCCCATCCCCACCCCCCTGCCTATGAAAGGGTACAGAGGCCGCAAACCCCTCCCCGGACCGCTACGGCCGTCAGTTCAGGATGCGCGGCGGGGCCCTGTCGTGGGAACATTTTCTGCTGGTCCGGGAACCACTTTTTGGCATAACGCTGGCATGGAGTCAGAGATTTATTTTGAATAGAATTCTGTGATTTTTAAAATGGTGATGTTTCTCAAAGTTGTGAGGGATTCTAAATGGGGTTATCAATTGTGTTATTGGCACACTTACGACTTCTTTGACATTGCAGAATCAGGGTGATTTATGCGGCACTGCAGATGGGATTATGTAATACTTTCTTTGATGCAGTTTTGTTGGTCTAGTGTATGCCATTTAAATACAGCCTTTATTATAAAATCCCATTTATCAGGCATGCGAACAAACAAAACTCACACTGCAGTATATTTATTTTTGCTATTAATTTCTGCATACACAATATTTATCTCCACTTGATCCCACATTTTGTATGTGACCTTTACTGGAGAAAAATTTCAGGATATTTAGACAATACAATCTAGTGAGTGTCCCTTCAGTAAAAGGCCTGTATTTGATGGACTAATATTGATCTAGAAGTTGGATGGAGCACTGAATTTTTTAATTATACAAAAGAATTTAAGGATTAAATCCTGCATCAGATGTTTTTTGTTAATGCTGGTTCTCTGACAATAAAAAGTAATTGACAGTACACAATGGTTTAATGCAAACTTTTATTAATTCCAGCCATATAAACGAGCAATGTGCTCCCGCAAGGTCATTAGGACCAAACCCGTGGGTCAATATGCAATTGTCAGTGCTGCCCCCTCTATTTACTGTTACTTGTTGCAAATGCATCTTTTATATGCATTCTTTAGATATGTAATACATTGAAATTTGGGAATTAGGAGAATTATTGTAGAAGTTGACTTATAAATTTATAGGTCATCAGAATTCTTTAATGCCTTAATCTATTTCATCTATATTTATTTTTTCCAGGGACTTCCTGCCTCGAGGGTCAGGCATCGTCACCAGACGACCTCTTGTGCTGCAGCTTGTTACCTCCAAAGCAGGTAAGCAGCGAGGGTGCTGCCGTGTGGCTGGTGCCCCGTGCACCCGGCGCCTCTGCTCCTGGGCCTCGGGCCTCGGGCCTGGCCACAGAAACGCTTCTGCTGTCACTTTGCTGTGGGCGGCTGCCTGCGTTCCTCTCCAAATGCTCTCTCCTTCATTGCTCTTTTAATTCCTTTGATTACATTAAAGGGAAGGCCTCATTTGCATGTAGATTTTTAAAAACCTAGAAAATAATATTTCATCATAATTATGTCTAGAAAATATTTTATCACTGTAATTAATATATTCATGTAACTGTACAGTATAGCGTAACCACTAATAATACCTCTTTGCTATATTTCCTTCCTGTGTCTGTGTGTGTTTGGGAACATTTTTTAAAGTAACAGTCCAGCATCTAATGTCCATATGCGTATGTATGTGTATCTGTAGCTATATTTATATCTGTATCTGTTGTCTATACCTGATGTGCTGTGTGCTTGCCCCTCTTAACAGTACGCAGTGATAATTTGGTAGGTCAGTGACCTTTGTTTTCATTTCTATTTCTTAGCAACTGGTGATGTTGAAATTTCTGTTTATTTGTTGCTTACATGTGTTCTCCTGTGAGTTGGCCAGAACCCGCCACTTTTCCAAGCCCCAGAGGTTTGGCAGCAACGAGGTCAAAGCCCCGGCCCTTCTGGCGACTTACAGTCTTGTTTTGTCGCTTTTTAATGCATAGAACTTTCAGTCTTTATGGTTGTAAAACAATACATGTACTTCCAGCAAAAAATAAACATTTAGCACTGTTGTCTCCCTTTTTATACTTTTTAGGGCTTGCTTTATCGGAAATTTATATTCATGTATGCCGAAATATTTTTTCCCCAGTTTCCTTTATCTTTTATTACATTTCTACCACAATCTGTTTCTGAAACTGTTTTCTGTTTTTATTTTGTCCGTAACACAGTCTTGCTTTTGTGGGTTTATGATTTGCCATTGTCCTTTCCCCTTATGTTCTTCTGTTTGGGGATGGTTTCCTATCTGTGTGGCAAAGTTTAGAAGTATTTGAAATCTACCCGCTCATTAGAGAATAATTGATATCTTTAAAATATCTTTGATTTTTTCCCAATCCTGGGACCACAATATGTCCTTTCATTTGCTTAAATCTCTGTATTTCTTAGTAAAATTCTTGATGGTCTTTAAAATACTGTCCATGCATTTCTAGTGAGGATATTCATATTTATTTTTTGTTGCTCTTGTGATTTGAATGGATTAATTCCCCATTACATTTTCTAATTCCTCATTGCTCTTTTTATTTCTGATTTTTTAATTAACCATCTAACTCTTCATTTGACAGATGAAAGTATTTTTAATTGATTCTCTTGGGTATTTTAGTTTTATAGTCATTTCATCTGCATTTCTTAATGTGTTCAGCAAATACCATGCAAATACTGAGAGGGCTGAGAAAAGAGACTTATTGACCAGAATGTTAATACTCTCCTCTGCGCCGGGGGTGTTTGGTGAGTGTGGGCACGGGTAAAATTCTCTAGCAGTTGAGTTTTCAGAAGGTACTTCACATGTTTCTTCCTCACACTCTGTTCACAGCCTCCCAGTCTTGTCCCTTCTTTCACTGACTCCATTAATCAGGATCACACTCCTTGCTCCACCTCCCTTTTCATGCAAAGCGGACTCGAAACTCGCCCGTCAGGGGGCACTGGCGCCCCCACAGGCACTCAGGAGCCCCCGCACGGGGCTTTTGCGGCAGCGCTCCCCTCTCCCCGAGCCGCCTGAGCACGCGGCTCATTTTCTCTCCGCCCCGTGTGCCCCGCCGCCGCCGTGTGACTGCAGGCCTGGGCTCGTGGAAGGCTGACCAAATGGCCAAAGGACACACGCCGGGATGTATGCCGCTGCCACGCGTCCTTGTGCCCTTAGCCCCTGGGTGGAATCGGTTCCGCAAATACTACTTTCTCTGCCTAGCTTCTTCATTCTTTCAGCCAGTGTGTATTGAGTGACGCCTGTGTATCAGGCACATGTCCCTGTCACCGTGAAGCTTATATTCTGGTTGGGGACAAACCAACAACAAGTAAAGGCAATGAGCGAAACCATGACTCAGAGGGCCGGGCGATGGAGAACAGGAGCCCCGGGCCGCGCGGCTCCGTGTGCGGGCAGAGGGACGGGAGAAGGCTCCAGGGCAGGGCCGCTGGGGTGGCCGAAGGTGATGGGGAGCCTGGGGCGGGGGCGCGGGGTGTGGGGAGGCTGCGCGTGAGTGGGTGCAGAGGGGAGACAGGAGACAGGCAGGGACGGACAGTGCTGCTTCTGGCACCAGAAAAAGCGGCTTGGGAGGGGCCTTGTGGGCCAGGGACCTTGGAAGGGAAGCTGGTAGGAGGACCGGGGCCTTAAGTAGGTGCCACGGAATGTAAGAGGAAGAAGCGATAGAGTGACTCAGGGGTTGGCGGGGTTAGGCTGATGCCTTTACTCACGGGGATGAAGGGGCACCTCTTCTACTGCAACCACCGGGAAAGGAAAGCGTCGGGGGACTGCAGGTGAGTCTGTCCTCAGTGGTGGAGGGGGCGGACCCCTCACTTGGTGACCTTATTTCTCCGGGAAGCCGGAATCAAGATGTGTGCTGATAATGATCATTTTATCTTATTTCCACGTCCCTCACTCCTCTTTAACATCTTGTCAGGTTGGCCAGGACTTCCAGAACCATGCTTTGCTCTTGCTGCGAGACTAGTGTCTCTTGTGTTAAATTATGCACATGCTAGTTACTGCTTGTTCTTCCTGATAAAGAACTATTTCATTCCTAACTTTTACGAGATTTTAATGCCCAATAAATAGCTACATAATATTGTTGAGTACCATTTTGGCATTTATTGAGATGATCGTTTAAGAAACTCTTTGTCTTGACCACCCTTACATGTATAGATTTCTTGTTTAAGCATCCTTGCATTTCTAAGATATACTTGATTATAGTAACTTATTCTTTTACTGGACTGTTGAAGTAATTCCACTAATTTATCTAAGTTATTTACAGTTCTTTCTCTATTTATACACCTCCGTATGGTTGTTGAGTTACCAAATAAAAGATACATGAGTGAGCATAAAATAGATATGGACTCTTTCTGTCTCTTTTGACTTTCTTCTGTTAGCTTTTGGAAACTCTAAAATACCCAGTGATACATTTTAGTTTCTGTTTCCAATTGAGGAGGGCTGCTGCCTGGCTCTTTCCAAAGGGGTCTAGAATCGGGGGTTCAGAGACAGCAGCCGGGCGGGGGGAGGCCCGGTAGGCGGACCTGAGCTGTGGCTGCACCAGCTCCAGGGGACAGGGCTGTCCCAGCGCACAGAGACTCCGCGCAGCCTCGTGGACCCTCAGTGTTCCGTGCAGAGATTTTCCTGCCCAAACCCTCGAAACTCTTCAAAAGGGGTTGCCGATCATAGGGCAGTCACTCTGGAGGTAAGGAGAATGCGCAGCTGCCGTTTCTTTTGGTCATTAATTATGTATCAGAATCGCGCACTTTGAAGGTATTTTCATTTACTCTTTGTAAGAATCTTCTGAGATGCATATTATGATTCCTGTTTTAGAAAAACAGCCTCAGCAGGGTGAAGTGAATTGTCCAAACCAAGCTGTTTGTAGGGGTGGGGATCGTTACTTGTATCTTCTTGACACTGTTGTTGCATTTTTTGAGTAGGAAACTCGAACTGCTTGCTTTATATTTGCAGGATACACTCTATATTCTATGGAGTATTTTTTATGGAAAGGGATTATAAATATGTGGATAGTAGATATGAAAATTGGTTAATTCATAGCTATCATCTCCTTTCTACACTAATGTCCAGTCGGTCATATTTAACTGCTTGTCTCTACCTGCTACTGTTATAGTTGTTAACCAGGTCAAAAGCTAATTAGAGGCCCTACGACTTATTGCAGAGATTTTGTTTTAGGACATTCAGTACTTAGTACAGAAGAGCGTTCCAGGACATCACACAGTGTTGTGAGGAAGGTGAGAAGAATCACCGCCTCTGGTTCACTGCTAAAGGGAACACTGTTAAGTGCTAAGGTCACGGTACCTCGGACCCAGAGAGGGGACTCTGGAGGCGTGGCTCAGGGCACAAGAGCCGAACAAAGCAGTGCTGAGGTGTCCAGTAAGGGCTGCAGTGTCAAGAGCAAGGGAGTAGGATCAAGATCTGATGGTGCACCTGTCATCACATCTCCATGTTCAGTGACTTCCTGGTGGCAGCTTGAAGTCGGTCATGGTGAGAGTATTTACACCATGGAAACTGGTCAGTGCCACAAATCGGGGCTCTTTGCCCCTTAGGCCGCCAGCTGTTCCATAGTAGCAACGCCAGCCTGGTTTCCTTCTGCTCAGCGCCTGCTCTGACTGTTCGCTGGTTGAGTGACATGCCCGACTGAGAAAGCAAATACGACCGAGTGTACTGTTTTTGGTGAACCACTAAGCATCTTGGCAGTGCCCCTGCTTTAAGAAGTGATCCATTGGGAATGTGATATGCCCCTCCCCCGCAATGAAGGCGACATGGTTTTTTAAGACATCATAGTCCAAATCACTCTTTGCATTAAAAGTTACTGTTAAGGACTCACAAAAGTGAATCCTGGAGGTTGTGGGGTAGGACAAAGAGTTTTGTCTCCTGGAGAACTTTATTAGGTTAAAATGTTTCTCTAAATGCTATTAAATTGCCTCATTCTCCTTTATTCCAATGACATTAAGTGTAAGAATGGAAGATAATAAACTCAGAAATTGCAGAATGGGTAAATTGTAGATAATTGTTCCAATGACAGAAATTTTCTTTCGTGAAAGATTTCCTTGCCCTTCCATCTTTCATGCATGTCAAATATATGATCCATTCATCAAAATTTGATTTCCCACAATTGAATTGCATTTACTGCACTATGTAAATGTGTCAGTGTTTTAAAAATTATGCGCGACTTGAATTTATTAGAGAGCTATGACTATTCGGCATTTTGGGTCTTTGGCTGGAGTTGCTGTGAACAACCGTTTTGATAAAGATGCCC